AGAGTCATTGAGGAAAAAAAGAGATGGGGGAAAGCCACCTTTAATGGTGGCTATTTTGAATTCTGTTCTCCGTTTAAGAAACACTGCACTAACCTGTTATAATGTTATTGTATTGAAGCAAGCAGTGTTCTTATGAAGAGTATCCAAAAATGAGAAACCTCATGAAAAAATTAAATAAAGGGGTCATTTTACAACTTGTATTATCCACATGTCTATCCAATATATCGCCCTGAAAAATTCACACAGCAAAATGCTTTTTCTTTCCCTCTTTCTCTGTCTAAATTTGCTATTCTAATTTTTATTAACAAAATGAAAGTTTAAAGCTCCCGCTAAACTATACATTTTGACACAACTGTGTGGAGCTGTTATAAATTGTGCTTAATAGGAGCACAGTAGGTCAATGGCATTCCGGTGGCTGTTAAAGGGATGTGAAATTTCAAGTTATGATTTGATTTTCTTTTAATGAACAACTCACAAGATAATTAAGAGGAATATTTCCTGAGAACTAAGGCGGCTTCCATTAAAGACAGAATCATGGGAGACAAAATAGTTTCTGGCTGCTGGTTCTGAGACTAACCTATGTACATTAGATAGCTACATACTGCTTGGCTATGTCTAGACTAGCATGATTTTCTGCAAATGCTTTTAACGGAAAACTTTTCCGTTAAAAGCATTTGCGGAAAAGAGCGTTTAAATTGGCACGGATGCTTTTCCACAAAAGCACTTTTTGCGGAAAAGTGTCCGTGTCAATCTAGATGCACTTTTGCACAAACCCCCCCCCGATCGCTATTTTTGCAATCGGGGCTTTTTTGCGCAAAACAAATCTGAGCTGTCTACACTGGCCCTTTTGCGCAAAAGCTTTGCGCAAAAGGGACTTTTGCTCGAACGGGAGCAGCATAGTATTTCCGCAAGAAGCACTGATTTCAGACAGTAGGAAGTCAGTGTTCTTGCAGAAATTCAAGCAGCCAGTGTAGACAGCTGGCAAGCTTTTCCGCAAAGGCAGCTGCATTTGCGGAAAACCTTGCCAGTCTAGACACAGCCCTATGGTATAGTTATTCTTGTAAGGCAAGGGGAATAGAGTAAAAGTCACCTTTAGAGTGATATAACTGAATTACACCAGAGGGATTGGTAAATTTATTT